TCAATTAAACTGATTGAAAGATTATGTCTTCATCATATGAAAATCAAGTACAATGATCCCTCCCGTTAGAGGTTTAGTATCATACCATCATAAAATATACGAGAACCATGCCAACGCTTTATTCTGGCTATTCCTACATAATAAATTTTATAGGTAAAATATTAAGAAATTCATGTTGGAGTTCCCATAATTATTTTGTCAACAAAAAGATTAAGTTGAATTAAGCCGGATTATGTTGTAACAACAATTGACAAATTAATCAAGGTAAAAACAGGTAAAACTAGTGGAAATGAAAGAGAATGGAAACGTTTTATATACTAGTATGACAATACTTTTTATTTTTTATTTTAAAGCATATAGTTTTAGCACAACTTCTATCAAATTGAATACACAGTAGCATAAAATTATCATTAAGACACAGCATTAAATTTTAGTACAAATGTAGCTTTTAATTGTTAAACATACAGAGAATTCACAAAGTCTTAGTCAATGTGCAAGAGATGAGAACAACTGGTTTTAGAATGAACTTTTTCATACAATCATGTATTTTTATAAGGATGTTCGCTACTTTGCTTCTAAATAATAAGCTCTTTAAAAGACTGTTATAAATTGAAAGTATATGAATAAAGGAACTAAAAAAAGCTGAAAAAATTGAAGGGTCCCTGTGCTGGTTTTCGAGATATAAGCCATTAAAAATTTGGCTGGGAGTGATTTTCTCTAGATTTTTCATACATTTAACACTGGCACTTTTCTTTCTTTCTAAAACTATGAAAAATTAACAAGGATTTTATAAGATTTTCAAACATAGCTTTTTAAATTATATGTAACAGAATTATAAAAAGAAAAGTAGGGGTTAACGGGCAAAATATTAATTGGCATTACATGAATAAAACAAAAGATTTCCGAGTATCTGACAAAAACTCAAACAAGAGAAGCCAACATCCTTAACTTTGATGATATTGTAAACCATTTATTGAGAAAAATGTAGACAGGTATATATTTTGGAACGTGGAAGTAGTAATTGTCAACGAGATAGCAACCAAACGGCAAAAAAGACTTTTTAAAGGTCAAAACCATTATACATGTACGTCTTTACAGTATAATTTTTAAATAACCAACATTTTCAAATATCCCAGATTTGTGTTCGTCTAAATCAATATCTTTTATTTTTATTGTGTCGATACTCGTGCTGATAGCCAAAATATCTTATTATCACACTTCGTTTGTTGATTACTTTTGTTGCCTAGATTACATGTATGTAGAATAAATTAGTAATATGGAAAAACAGATAAATTTTTTTTAGAATGAATTTAAAATTTGATAAATGCAGGGATTTAAGGCAGTTGATAACATAAGCTTCGCGCTTTCATCTTCAACGAAAGTGACAATTTGATATAGAAAAAATCAAAATGAAACAAAAACAAATGACTTGCGTTTAAAATTTTTACATTCAAATACGTACTATTTAAAAATCAACGACTAGATATACATGTACCTAGTAGAAAGCTAAACAATACCAGGAAAATCCGCATCCATCTAATCGCAATACGACGTTAAAATAGTCTACACCGCCTTTATGTTGTATAAAAAAAACAAGATCAAAGGGTAGGAACGACCATTACGAGAGACAAAATATCATAAAAGCAGTTTTGATTGAACAGATACACCTACCACTTCTAGAATTTCAAAGAAAAAGGTATAATACGTGTTATGAGCAATTACCAATCGTATACTGTCCCATAAAACTTTATTAATTTAACGCCTCATATCTTTGTAATAGAATTAGAGTAATTTATTCCACACAAATTCTGCAGCAAAGTCAATTACAGATGAAATTAGTTACCAGGAGAAAAGGCTCGTTCCAAAATATCTTGCATGATAAATTTCGCTACGAACTAAGTCAAACCTTAAGGATGTTCGCTCCTCTTGTTTTTGAATTTTTGTCGGATATTCGGAATCCTCTGGTTTTATCCATGTAGTGCCAATAAATATGTTGCCTGCTGACCCCTACTTTTCTTTTCATAATTTGATTACATACAGTTTAAAATAGATATAAGAATATGTGGTAGGAGTGCCAATGAGACAACTCTCCATCCAAGTCAAAATTTATAAAAGTAAACCATTATAGGTCTAAGTACGGTCTTCAACACGAAGCCTTGGCTCACACCGAACAGCAAGCTATAAAGGGCCCCAAAAATTACTAATGTAAAACCATTCAAACGGGAAAACCAACAGTCTAATCTATATAAAATACGAGAAACGAGAAACACGTATGAACCACATCAACAAACGACAACTACTGAACATCAGATTCCTGACTTAGGACAGGTGCAAACAATTGCCGCGGGTTTAAGCGTTTTAATGGTACCAAAGCTTCACCCTTATCTGCAACAATAGTGTAACATCACAACATAAAAAGACACACTATAAAATATCAATTGAAATGGCTTAACTCAATCAAAAGACATATTAACACCAGTGAACATACACTGAACAAATAAATTTGATCTATGATACAATGTAAAAAACAAAATTAATAAACTAAGCGGGAAGAATAATAAAAGTAACATGTTATACCGCTGTGAAATGTTAAACAATTTAAGAAAAACAATATGCTTGAACAAAAATATCAGCCATTTGCAATTACTTTAAACACAGGTAAATGATAATTTTTTTGATAGGTATACGTGTACAGTTCAAATGGAGAAAGGAAATATATTTACAAAATAAATAATTTTGATTTTCATAGTACGAAGAAGTGAAAATTTATAGTAATACCAAACACTTATCAATGCTAGTATATAGACCAGATATAACCCTGAATAACATTAAATAGCAAAAAAGCATTACAATTAATATCAACAGGTCAAATATACAAGAAAGTACGATTTGAGAGTACTCGCAGTTACAGACAGCTAGTTAAAAGCCAAAAACAAATAAAAAGCCATATTTGAAAATCTTATAAAATCCTTGTTATTTTTTCATAGTTTCTGAAAGGAAAAAGGTGCCAATGTTAAATGTATGAAAAATCTAGAGAGATTATTTCCCGCAAACTTTTCAATTGTTTATATCTCGAAAACAAGGTCTTTACTTTTGATGCAACATGTTGGTATGTTAGTTTTTATTTGGATGAAAAAAGGATGAGATAATACCATAGGAAATTTATAAAAACACAAGTCAAATAAAAAAATGAATTGTAGTGGTAACAAAAGAAAAACAACGAATAGAAAAACAACAGTACACTTAAAACGGCACAGCAAATTAAAGATCGAGCAACACAAACCCACCAAATTAAAACTGGAGGTGAAATTGGGAGCTCAGAAAGGTAAACAGTATCTTTCCGGCTTGTGGCACTCGTCCTTTCACTCTTTGCAGGTACATATTCGATGATTGGTCGCATTAAGTAATGTCACCATCGAGAAACAGTGAAAGGGATTGCAATTACGGTAAGTGGGTCAAACATATATCCATGGTAATCGCGACGAAGTCAGATATTCCATAATGATCAACGAAATCAAAATGACAGTCATAATGTTTTCGTAGGAATGACGTCACCATTAAATGTTTAAGTATATAATCATATTATCTTGAATTAAAAGACCTGGTAATTGTGTATTTATATTCCCCATGCAGCGGCGTAAAATTATCCAACACTAGAACACACCCGCGACATCGCGGGTCCGTGACTTAATTAAAGTACCGACGCCTTATTTTTAGCATTTTTTAGTATTCGTAGTGTCATCTGACAAAGTCATGCTGATAATAAGGTGCAAAGTTTTCTCTGCTTTAAAATTCTTTCTGTTTGAGCCCGTTCTGGTTCCCTACAAAACCGGAAACTACATGTGACATATACTATTGGTATCGGTATCTGATTTGACCCAGAACTTGTTAATTATTGGTAATTTTAATTATGTGGAAAATAAAAGGTCCAGGAATGGTGTAATTTTTATCAATAGTTAAATATAAAGTTGAATTCTTTGATCCGTCGTTTTTACGTCATGCCTGCTAACAAATTGGACCAATAGTATTGATTACTTTTACAGCGGATACTGACCGTTTCAAGTTATAGACTTACTCTCATTCGGTACGCTGAAAACATAATGTTCGGAAAGCGAAAACTTAAAACGGCTTCATTTGATTTTGAGTTTCAAAAACATCTTGGCCTGTACAGCAAAAAGAGTCTAAAATTAAATTACACAATGCATAAAACGAAAATTAATTCAAAATGTGTAAGTGTTCTTGGATCGTGACATAACAAATCACTGGCTACTAGGCGGTTAGTACCTTCGGAGACCCACACTATAAAAATAAGAAAATGTGTTATGATTGCAAACTCTCCACCAGAGACCAAATGATGTAAAAGTTAACAACTATACATTTTTTGGTCACCGTACGGCCTTCAACAATGTGCAAAACCTATACAGCATTGTAAAGCTATGAAAGGACCCAAAATGACAATTGTAAAACAAGTCAAACGATAAATCTAATGACCTGGTTTATGTAAAAAACAAAAATAAAATTTAAAAAAAAAACAAGTATGATATACAGCAACAAACGACAACCACTGCATTACAGGCTCCTGACTTTGGACAGACACATACAGAATGTGGCCGGGTTAATCACGTTCCACCTGTAGCATACCGACCCCGTGTTAAGAATAAAACTATGTAGTGAACAGTTTGACTGAAAGTTTTTAAACCTGAGATATAGTCAAGGGACGTTTACGAAATCAACACATATTTTTTTATAAGCTGAATATTAATTAAAAAAAGAACTGGTACCGTTATTGCTGTTCAATAATTTCACGAAGATTGGAATATAAATAATTTATTTTCCTGTGTCATGATTACAATTATATCTTTTTAATAAGCTGAATATTTACTAAATATGATACATGCATTGCTGTTCCTCATCTTCATGCAGATTGGGATATAACTAATTTAAAGATGCCAAATTTAAGAGTAAACACATACTTTTTGTGACATAGATGAAAAACTTACCTCAGTGATAATCCGAAAAAGGGTAACAAAATGATAATAAGTTCCATCGTATATCTTTGCACAAATAAAAAGTCCTATATTTAAACTGTAATTAATTATTCATGATAAATCTACTATTATCCTACTACAACAGACAGCTCTCTTCTATAGAGGCGAGAAAAGTGATCATTCTCTGCTGAATCGTAGTGTCGTAACGATAGGCGCAATCATCATACATTAGCAGTTAGATTTATACTATTTGGCATGCTACACGAGGCCAATGAATTTATCTCGTCGATTTATCTGCATTTATATATTTAACTGTCTACTTATACTTAACAAGTGTGTTGATATTCGTTTATATTTCATATACAAAACTCTAGTGTCGGATGAAGAAATTAAGACGTAATATTTGTTTAATGTGAGATGCTTAAGGACCATCAAACCGTGTGGTATTCTTTCTTGTTTCTTTTTACAATTGCAAATTTTCTTTATTATTAAATTTACTTAGTCTTGTACTTGATATTAATTTAACGCCTGAATTAGATGGCTCTAAATTGAACTTGTTTGACATATTTGCAATTGGACGTTAAGCAACGACCAATCAATCAATCAATAAATCATTCAGTCTCTCTATTAAGGAAATGATAAAGCTCGAAATAAATTGTTTATTTTTGTTGAGACCAGAGTTGTTGTTTTTTCGTTTATTGTTTTGTCATCAATCAAGCCGTTCTTTTATTTTAATTGTTTCTCATTTTGTCATATCACACGAGAATTTTGAGGGGTTCATGTTGCGCGGTCGTATGTTTTTTATGTTATGTTTTCAAGACTTTCATTTGTTTTTTCGTATTTTTATCTTATTTTGCAATGTCGTAGTAAGTTTGTCCCGAATAATGAATTCAGACAAGTATCCCTTTGGTATCGACTGCCTCTGTTGTTCTTTTAAAGCTGATTAATACGTATGTGAACACTTTTGCTAATTGCTGAAGGCCGTACGGTGACCTGTAGGTGATTGAGTCCGCTTAATTTGTACTATGTTGACAATCATGTACCATGTCTCCTAAGCATAATGCAAAGTGGTGTGTTGTCCCTTTGGCAATCATACCACATCTCCTTAATATTCTAAATTGGTCCTTGTTTGTAAAATTTCATCACAAAAAGCTAAATCTAAAACGTGTAATAAAGTGATTTTAAAATGAATTTACATTAAGTAATATTGGCATTTAATCAAGATCTTAACAATTATATAACAACTTCGCATATGTTGAAAAGTCATTTAGTACTTTGTCACTTATAAATAAATAAATGCTGAAAAACAAACTCAGCAGAATACAAGCAGGTCAGTGATGAACTCAACTCTCCTGAGTACAGATAAGCATATTCAGCATGGTACATGTATCAGCAGGTCAGTAATGAACTCAACTCTCCTGAGTACAGACAAACGTATTCAGCATGCACCTGTGACATATTGAACCATGCTTTTTCTCGGCTACTTGTGAAATCATTTCATCAAGGGAAATTAATTGGTTATATAATCAGTTCATTTAGCTGTGCATCACATTGAAATATCATGATAATTGCAATTTTTCTGGCAAAATATTGAAATAAATTATTGCTGGTGGTATCATTGTGCAACTGACGAGCAGACGGCTGTTATAATTATTACATCACCGCGTTTCATGTATGCTATGTAAGAGATTTCGGTAAATCATTTAGAGATTATTGAACCTACCTTTAAACTAAAACAAAACTCATCAAAGATATCAGGATTATAATTTAGTACGCCAGACGCCGCGTTTCGTCTTCAAAAGACTCATCAGTTACGCTCGAATGAAAACAAAATTAAGGACAAAATAAAGAACGTATTTGAAGACCATTCAGGGCCTAGAATTCCGGAAGGTTTTGCCGAATACAGCTAAGGCAATCTGTTTCTGGGGTAGAAAGTCCTCAATATTTCGAACAATTTAAAAAAAAAAGTTTAACTTTCATGTGATAAGGGTAAACATTCAATTTAAACAAAGCAGAGAAAAAATAAAAAGAAAAGTCCTGAAAAATTGTTTCGTAGATTTGTTTATAATATATCCCATATTAGACGTTCGACTAGTACATTTGACTTGTAATCAACCGAATAATGACAACAGCAATAATGCGAAGCAGTCCGTAATCTTTATAATTACCATTAACCTACCAGTAATCACTATAAATATTGACTTGTGTTGCAAATATAATTGTAAGAGTTATTTTCATGTGACTTTGATTGATTATAATATAATTGACCTACGTCACAATATGCATTTAGTCAATTATAGAACTTCATATTCACATTCAACTATTCTAAAGAAGCTTGGTCTAGATATAAACTTATAACATACATGTATGACTTTGGATTCAGTTTCCATTTTAAACGCATTCATTTTTATTTAACTTTTTTACATTGTTAGATGTCCATTTTTAACGTATTCATGTAGATGCTTCATTCATTGATGGTATAAACAGCTAATAGAAAAAAATATAATAAAATAAGTTAAAAGAACATATCAGGTAACCAACCGAAAAAGAAAATGAATTTTCCTAAGGTCAGATGACCCTACTTTCAAAGAGAGGTGAAAGATACCAAAGGGACATTGAACGTATATATCGAAAACAAACTGACAACGCTATTACAGTTGAGTGACTTTAAGCATCAAATTAAATTTTTAATGCACCCACCTAACACACGGCTAAATTATATATCATTCTAAATCTAAACATCTGTACTTTCTGTTTTGTTCGGTCGTTAAAAAAAAATCGTACGGTGCAATTTGCGTCAAATTAAGATCAACATTCAAGGACGAACAAGTGCAAAAATTCCAAGATGTCATCTTTAGTGCATATTCTGTCTGCTTTATAATAAAATCATGTATAACCCGCTGCAATTGTTTGCACCGCACCTGTCTTATGTCAGGAATCTGATGTTCAGTAGTTGTCGTTTGTTGTTGTGGTTCATAAGTGTTTCTCGTATCTCGTTTTTTATATAGATTAGACCGTTGGTTTTCCCGTTTGAATGGTTTTACACTAGTAAGTTTTGGGGCCCTCTATAGCTTGCTTTGCGGTGTGAGCCAAAGCTCCGTGTTGAATATAAAAAAGAAGATGTGGTATGATTGCAAATGAGACAACTCTCTACAACAGACCAAATGACACAGAAATTAACAACTATAGGTCACCGTACGGCCTTCAACAATGAAGACCGTACTTTGACCTATAATGGTTTACTTTTATAAACTGTGACTTGGATGGAGTGTTGTCTCATTGGCGCTCATACCACATCTTCTTATATCTATGTAAACAGTTTATTTTTTTTTACAGAGAGATTGACAGTCACTTATTAAGCGCCTTATTGAATATTCAAAGCATGTTTTGATAGACAGCACATTTTTCCTGAAATTCGAGTAAAATGAGTAAAAACAAAATTATTCTTTTGTAATGCAACAGCTAATCACCAAAAACTAAATAAAACCCTATAATTAGTGCTCAAGAAGTTTTTGACAGCATCAATTTCTTTAAATAATGCTTACTTCTAATCAAACAGCAAATCATAACAACTCATACAGTTGCCCATAATACCGCCATCTGCCGAAACACAGATTTTTAGCACTTCTTCCGTTTAAACATTGTATGTAGTCAATTTAAGATTGAAAAAATAGAATTCGTAAAAATGCTGAAACATTTAAAGGAAAAAAAAATCGTATGCGGGCACTATGCTGTTGCTTGTAATTAAGTGAGCGAAACTTCGATATTTCAATGTGCATTGTAACTGCCAGACTGAAATAAAAAATCTTTCGCCTTTTCTTATTGTTTGATTTGTAATTTCATTATAAACATTGAAATAGTTAAAAATACTTTTTACTTATACAATGTCAACCATGAAAAAGTATTAGAAATATAGAACACATAGATAAAAAAATCAATCAATGAAAAGTAAAATTGCAAAGAACTCACTTATACAAATTAGAAAACTTGTCTTATTGGCTGCTTAAACTGCATTGTTCATTGTTTAAGTAGATATAAGAAGATGTGGTATGAGTGCCAACGAGACGACTCTCCATCCAAGTACGGACTTCAACACGGAGCCTTGGCTCACACGGAACAGCAAGCTATAAAGGGCCCCAACATGAATAGTGTAAAACCATTCAAACAGGAAAACCAACGGTCTAATCTATATAAAAAAACGAGAAACACTAATGAACCACATCAACAAACGACAACCATACATCTAAATATTATCATATACTATCATATACATATGCTCTTTGGTCGGGTTGTTGTCGCTTTGACGCATTCCCCGTTTCCATTTCTCTTTGACTTATTCCCCGTTTTCATTCTCAATTTTAGGCATTGTAATGATCTGTTTGGTCTATTCTGAGGAAGAAACCTTATGATAATATGTAATTTTCAAGTATCAAGACATGTTGTAGTTGCATTGACTTTGAATTCATTCTTTATCTTACCGTTTTTAATTCTCTGTTGATGAACTTAGAAATCTTTAAGAAACTGATGTCCCAACTCCCTTTAACATAGTTGACCTCAACTATGTTTTTATGCCATTGCTCCTCAAGTTTCCAGTAGTTATTCACCCTTTGCTTTCGTAACTTTGAGCGTTCCCGATTAAGGTAAGATCAAGAAACAACACTTCGAACGCACCAAATTGAAAAAAAAAATATTAACTAGCATTAACTCTAGTTACAACTGGACTTCCTGAATAGCTTGAATGACTCGTATCTTTATTCATATGAGGCTGACTTCATACAAGAGCTTCTTACGAAGAAAGAAAACACTCTTTCATTATTTTGCAGCTCCTCTTTCCACTATATAGATAATGTCCTCTCACGGAATACTACAAAGTTTGTTGACTATGTTAACCGCATATAGCCCATCGAACTTGAAAAAGGATACAATAGATACAGTTTAGTCTACTCCATATCTTACATATCGAAATTGACAACGAGGGTCAGTAGCGAACAAAATATTTCCAAAAAAGAGTTGATTTCAGCTTCCCAATTTAGCACTTTCCATTTCTATATAATTATGTAGCAACATTTCATCAGCACCTGCTTATGGAGTATACATTTCCCAAGTTGATACGATATTCCAGAGCTTGCATTGTTTTTCATGGTTTCTTGATAGAGGGAAGCCACTAAACTAGAGTTCAAATAATAAAGCTGAAATCATCCCTTTGAAAATGTCATGAATGCCATTACGAGTTGGTTGACCTTTATG